AATTGCCTACTCAGTCCGAAGTAGCACTTGTTGGCAAGAGTTATCCTGCGTTGGATTTCCAGGCTGACATTATTGCTGGTTCCAAGATAGACGAAATTATCTACGACTTCAAAGTTATGACTGTCAACAGTGACGTGAGAGCATAATCGCGAGTGCGACGACTGTTTGTTTGATGACAGGAGATATTTCGTCTTGCCCTCGGTCACTGCCAGACCCATTTGTGTTGCTGCCTTATTCATTCTGGAAAAAGCAGAACTAACGGCGCGGGTGTTGAGGCCGATGATATCAATATCATCGGCATACGCCAGCAGCTGTACACTCTTATAGAAGATCGTACCTTCTCTATTTAGTTCTGCAGCTCTAATTATTTTCTCCAGAAGTAGGTTGAAGAAATCACAAGATAGGGATTCGCCTTGTCTGAAACCTCGTTTGGTATCGAACGGCTCGGAGAGGTCCTTCCCGATTCTGACGGAGCTTTTGGTGTTGCKCAACGTCAGTTTACATAGCGGTATTGGTTGCGGGGATACCAAATTCAGACATCGCGGCATAAAGGCAGCTCCTTTTCATCAAAAGGGGGGTCTCTCATCCGAGGCTGTTGTGAATTTTTCATTGGGGGTGTTTGTTTACGTGGCGGGTCCCAAGCCCAGCGCACAACCCTACGTAGGGGTAGTTTAATATATCGTCAAAGTCAATTATCTATTTTTCATGTAGCGATACAAAGCACATTCATGTTTTTTAAATAAAAAGGTTAATAAATTAAAAAATGTCCAACCCTTTAATACAAATTCATAGTAATCAGTGCCAATGATTCAATCCCAAGCAAATTGTTTATATACAATTTAATACAGCTAAGGCATATACCATAAAAGATTTTTTGAAATAAATATCCAATTTTTAATATCCTCAGATAATATCCTCTTTGGATCGAATCAAAAATAAAAATTTATCCTATATACATATGCACTTATATTCTCAGTTTCGGAGTTTAATTATGACACAACAAATATTTTTGGAATAACGTTTTGCTAAATTACTAATTAATTAAATTATTAAAATTAAAAAATAATCTTTTAGTAAATGGTAAAATAAATTACAATTGTACGTATATTTGAATATAATAATACACTAAGTGAATTTGTATTCGTAGATATACATATAATACACATATATTGTTACTTTTGACACATGACGACTACAGCCATTAAAGTGCATTTAAATCGTAATAGAGATATATGCGTATGCGTGTATGTCCGTGCATAAAGATAACATGTACTCTTAACACTTGTATCGAGCGTGCAAACAAATATACAAGTGGAAAATGTGATTAAAATTATAATAAACAAAGGGTTGCACAGCAGTAAACTTAAAATAATTAAGAAAAAATCATTTCATGATCGTCGTGCCAGATTATCTTTTGAAGCGGCATATTCTAAGGGATTATCTAAAATTTTWACACAGTTGACAAGCTGGTATGAATAAGTAACAGAAGAAAAGCATCTTATGATGCTCTTTTCAAATCAAAGGGTTGGCATTAATATTTCTGGGCTAGCAATGGAATAAGCAATATTTTTTCGGTTTAAAAACGCAGTGATTATTTTCCAAAAAAAAATTGTTAATGGTTTATCACATTTTTGTCGATTAGTTTGAAAACTTTGTAAAACTATTTTSTGTAGTTCGATCAAAATAACTGAACCCACTAACCTTGGATTGGTCAAAAATCGACGCGTGAGAGCTGGATTGGCTARCCGATGCACACCTCTTTTTCTATTATTTAGCAGAAACAATCCAGCGSGATAATGGTTCGCCGCTTACATTTTTCTTTGAAGAATGCTCTGAAGAAAATTYTATGTAGAATTCTTCGATACTAGCTAATGCATAAAAGTAGGCTATGAGGCTAAATTCTACTGCGTTCATATTATATTTACAATTTATACAATACAATATGTAAGCAACGAATACAAGTTGATGAAATAAAAATTATAAGTAAAGTAATCACTATTTCGTCAAATCGTCAAGCATATTTTAATTAAAAATTTTTCGGTATCATTGATGGAAAATTGTAATTGCATACGGTTTCAAAATTTTTTTGTAGAATGTGTAAAAGTAGGTTTCACCGAATCGGAGTGTGCTCACCAAACTCAAAAACGCATCAGACTCGCCAAAGGCCCTTTCTTTAAGGCTCGTTGTTTGAAAAAAAAAACGAAGAGACTCAGCTACAAAATTAAAAAAAAAAACCGTTATTTTTTATATATAAATACTTAGGTTCATAACGAAATATATACATGTATTTTCATAAATAAAGCAAAATTAATATGTAATTTTTGTATTCAACTATTGGCCTTGGCATAGAGGAATTTTCCGTTAATTGAGGTAAGSGAAAGGGGTGATCTGTTACTTTTCGTAGGACAACGCCGTGTTAATTTTTATTGGTCGGAGTAAGCGATACAATCATGCTGCATCATTTACTTTGCTCGCTTACCAATGTCTACCATATCCCGCTGGGAAGTTATACAAAGTTTTCAAAGCGGTTATGAATAAATTTTTGAGAGTATGTACATGCAGAGCAATGTCATAAATTTTCGATGGGGACGTCAAGTGGCTTCGAATAGACATCGAAGTGGTCAAAATGCGAAACATGTTTAGCAACCGCATATCCAAAGATTGTTCGAGCTCATCTTAACATTATTATTTATCWATCAATTAATTCTGATCTTTGAATCGGACTCTGTCACTTGACGGCGGAAATCAACAATCGATACATATACTATACATACAAATTTATGCTAATTTGCGCAAAATCATACAAACAAAAATGAACAGCATACCCCACAAGACAGCTATACGAAGCTAATAATATTTACTTTAAACTAGACAATTGCCAAGAAAACCCGAATTTTCATTTGCCAAAGGTGTTTTTACCAAACACAAATTGTGAAATAACATCGCGATTTCATAACTTTCATCAATGACGTAAAATAAATACACTACGTAGAATTTAATAAATGCCACTAAACTAGTTTTACACGCTACGCGCAACTAGTAACTATACTACATAATATATCTACATAACTAACTATACACTAGCTCTTGTAGCTTCTCAATCAGTCATGCGGAATTTTCGGGTTTTCATACTATACATATTCCAGCAATATCTAGCAAAGAGTCAGTAACAGCCCGCCAGTCACTCACACGTTCAGTGCGCCAAGCACATTGCTTTTTGGTTGGCTGCTCGTTCATTCGTTCGGCAACGACAAGTGTGCCCACTACTCTTCAAGAATGAGGAAATCTGCTAGGCACCGGATTGCAGCCTTTGGTATGCGCCGCAGACAAAGCTCTTTACATTCAAATGCACACATACAATATAATACAAATACTACTATATTCAGCCGTTGTAAACATATGTAGTAAGTGTGTAATCCCTGCTGCTGGTTTATCCATAATTTCTCCGTATCTTTTATTAATTCAGTTCCATTTGAGTTTTCGCTTTGCGCGGTTTGGTATTCCTGCTTCACACTGTTCATAGAATATGAACGAACATACATACATAGTATATACTTAGGTATGGATAAACATACTTATATCAAATATATGTATATAATTGTGGCGAAAGGTATATATGTATGTATGTGGTGCTTGCGAACGACTTTTGGAACTTTGGGCAATTCTATTGTAAACTCTTGCATTGCAGCATTTTTTGTTAGTTTCGTATCTTCGTTGCAATTATTTTCTTTGTTTGTGTATTGTATAATGTATATTTGTTGTTGTAATGCCGTTTGGTTGGTTTAACTTATCTCAAGCTTTTGTACGCGAACTTAAAGTGGTGAGTCAGTGTGATGTGTTGTTCAATTAATAAACATAAGAACATACATACATACATATGTGTGCAAATATACAAAAGTCTATTGAATAACAAAACAATACATGCGCGTCTGTAAATATTCTACAAAAATTCGCAATTTGTCAGTTTACCTGTAATCAGATCCATGTAAAATTTAAAATTAATATACATACATATACCTAAGTGTGTACATATGCATTTGGCTGCAATTGCACACCTCGCAGTGAATGCGCCCGACAGTTGAAAAATTTTGATAGTTTAAAGGTGCTTAATCATTGCGCAATGAAATTAAATCGATACGGTATGAAAACATCATAGAAATTCATTAAACGAATGGAATGATAATGTTACACTAGTATAGGATATGTGTTTTTAATATTAACATGTACCAACAGTGTGTGAAAACTGACTAATGACTGGTCCATATAAACTTCTTTAAATCATCAAAACGTATATAAAGGCGAATCGAATCGTATTAAATCAAACAAGCTCTGATCGCATTAAAATTATATATTAAATTGCTTTTAGTGAGAACATATAGTATGTAGCTCTGGTGTAAGTTTTATAATATTAAATAAGTTGTTTTTTGCTTTTCGGCTTTCTCAAAGTAGGTCAGAAAAAAATTTATTTTAATATTTACAATAGTTTATTTACTGCCTTTCGGAAATAAAATAGTTAATGTGTATATAGCGATATGTTATGTATCAAAAATATTAAAAATTAAAAATAAAACGCATTCAGCTATAGACCAAGTAATTTGAAAGTTAGTAAGACTTGCAAAATGAGCTCGAAAAGAATTTTCTTAAATTTAATTTATACCCTAATTAATATTAATGTTTTTTTTTATTTTTTATAATTGAAACACACTTTTTAGTCGCGTTACTAATTT